CCTCCGCTCGCGGCCGAGACCCGCCCCCCCCCGGTCGCCCCGCTGCTGGGCTCCCCGTGCCGGGCGCGGGACGGGGATGAAGGAGGGGAGCGGCGCCGGCCTCCTCCTCGCGGCCCTGACCGACACGCAGCCCTTGCGGCCGCTCCGGCGGGCGAGCTCACACCTCTCGCCTCCCTTAACGTCCCCCAGGAAACACCAAAAAACATTTCCCATGCCTTCCGCAGCCCTTGTGACTTGGGGAAGCCTAAAGYGGGTCCAGACGGGTTGTTTTTAAGCAGTCTCAGCTTCCTGAGAGCTGAAATAGCAGGCGCAGGCCCCGCGTCACCCGTACCGGTGTGCGCTGAACAGCAGAGATTTCTCTCGTGGCAGCTGTTGCCGCTGCCGGTAGCTGCCTCGTCGTCATCTCCAGCCCTGCAGCCCGCTCTGGAATCACTCCTTTGAGCCCCGTCTTGCTTCAAACGGTTCCTCGCTCAGTCAGCTGATCTGGGAGAAAGGGGAAAAAAAAAAAGAAAAGAAAATCTTGGGGTTTTTGGCAGATATAAATGCTGGAAATCAGCTGGTAGCTGGTCCTCTGGGATCCCGCCATGTCAGTTCAGAAATAAATTATGGGATGTTCTTAATTTAGTTGTCCCATCTTTGTTCCCCTTGGCTGCAGAAACRGGCAGTAGCCGGTGCCCGTTCTGCGCCGCTCTTGGGCTTCCCAAAAGGAAGGCGGGGGCGGCCGCGCCGTGGCCGAACGCGAGCGCTCGCCTCTGAAAATCTCCAGATGAGAAGTGCGGGTGATGAACTGTCCGGGGCTCGCAGTGACCTTGTATTTATGTGGTTTTGGTGAGGGCTCGCGGGGACTCGGGCTGAACGGGAAGCTCCTCTTGCTGCCTCGGKGTGTTGGTTGGCTTTGGATTAATAGGGATTTTTCAGCCTCCTTTTCCTTCGTTGCCGTGGCCTGTACAAAAGGCAGGCTAGTTTTAAGCGAGAGCCTGGTTTGTGGAGCAGTGTGTTGTGACCGTGTTCGCAAGGCCAGACAGGAAGAAAGGTTTGTTAAGAGATGAACGGGCTGTGCTGTGCAAGTGCAGAGGCGCTCCCCTTGCCTGCAGTGCAACGTGCGAGCGTTGGCCGAGAGTTCAGAACTTCTGCTCCGTTAGTAATCAAAGTCCAATTGAATTTACACACGACCTAGGTGAAAATCCTGCATTACAGTCCCAAAAGGGAGAGCTTCAGCCAAACTCCAGTTTTGTCACCTGGAGAACTCTTCCCCTCTGCTGCGAGACCAGCCCGAAAGCCCCTTTTCTGCTTATCCTGGGGGCAAAATGATGCCCTGGACAAGAACGACACTTAGGGGAGCCCCCACATCTCCTTCCCCTTGCAAGAAGGCAGATAGAATTGCACTGTATGTTCTTTACCRAGCTCTCTAAGTGTCGTTACCGACACATTCTGTTTTCTAAGTGTTCTCTGGGCAAAGCGCCGTTTAGAGGAAGCCCAAACCCTGTGGTTTGTTTGGTTTTCCCTTTTTTTTTGTCTCTCTGTGTTAGTCTTTCTGCACTGCAGACTCTTGCTGTTGATGCTGGGTATATTCTTGGCTGCACAACTAAATCTTTATATTTCATGCAGATTGAGCTTGTGGATAGCTGAAAGAGCTGCATTTACAGAGAGCCAGGAGGCACTGAGCTGTAGCTGCCTGTGTTGCCTATAATTAACTCTCATTTTGCTGCCATTTCACCAAATGACTTTTCTTGCAAGTCCATCAAAGAGAGATTAAAACAATTTTCACCATCTGCCAGACAGTACTAGATTTCCAAAAGAAAACTCACCGAAGGCCCAAGAATGACGTGTTGAGTGCCAAGGAGAATGAGCTGCAAGGAGCAGCTTCCTTTGAAAGCACCCTAAGCCCAGCAGYGCGCCTAGGACTAACGCCGCGTGTTCCTCGCAGCGTGGGCCGACAGCAGCGTGCTTTATTCCACGGGCTAGGAAGCCGCTTTCCATCTGGACTTTCKGGTTTGTAATCCCGCTTTGCGGCCCAGCTCTCGGCTCCGTAATGGGGCTGATCAGATTAGAGCCTCATATGGAAGGCGCTGGGGATCAGCGGCGCAGAACAGCGGCTTTGTGCGCGCGGCGCCGGCCTCTCGCCGAGGCTCAGGGCGCAGGGGAGCGCCCTGGGTGGCGCTTCTCCCAAAGCGGCACCGTGAGCCCCACGCCGGGTGCGTCACCCCTAGGTGCAGCCAAGCGCCCCGGGCCCGGGGTTGGGTTTTCTATGTCGTAGGGCATGAGAAAAGCGGCCTTCGYTGCTGCYGGTTATACASATGGCTGCCCACAAGCTGCAGCCTYTCTAAACTTTCTGCGCCTGGAATGCATCCAGTAACTGCTGTCCAGTTCTGTGCAAAATATATCCTCTGTTGCGCAGAGGAGGAAACCGCTCTCTTCCTTTTGCAGGGGGTGGCCTTCCCTCCCCGTCCCGCGACATTGCTCCTGCTGGGGCCAAGAGGAGAAAGGGGGGGCCAGTGACACGAGTTGTCTCGGGCATCGGTGCTGCTCGTGACTAGTGCTAGACCTGCYCCGCGTCTTCTGGAGACTGGACAGCAGTGTGGACTTTAAGGCTGAGCAGCTTTGCAAGCAAAAGCAGAAGAGTAGTTGGAGTTTGGTGGCGTTTAGTTGCTGAGGAGACATGTRGTCTTGGCCCACGTTCATAAACGGGGGATATCCAGTGGGATAAATCCTTTGRATGTGCCTGGGAATGTGCTGGCAAGAGCCTTTGCCTTCAGGCAAGATTTTGAGCTTCTGCAGACTCTTGCAATAGGAGGGAAGTTGGTTCAGGCCGTAGTCGTGACTCGTGCTGTAAAATGTTTCAGCAACTGATGATAAGATAAAGGCAGCTGGYGGGTTGCTGCTCCCCGCTGCATTCCCTGCGCATTAGTGTGCGCAGGGGTGGCTTTTATTCCTCCTTAGTGCTCGGTCTCTGCAAATCACTAATTGCTGCAAATTTTATTTTACACTTCAGACCGTTCCAGCTGAGAAGCTTAAGATGCCTTTTGTGCCTAACTGGCTTTCCTGTGTGCTCCTTGATTGCCGAGGAGATTGTGCAGGCTGGGGAGGAAAGTCTGTGGGAGGGCAGTGTGAACAGGGGCGCGTTGTTGCAGAACGGCTCCGCGCCGCAGCTGCCTCTCGGCACGTGCCAGCCTGGCTCGTTCGGCACAAAGATGCCCTGCGCCCTGGTGACACAGGAGCCCGCGAGCGTCTATGGGGGGTGTTTGCAGGTCCCTGGGGAGGGGCATGAAGAACCGAAACCCGCAGCTCTACCGTGAGGTGCCGTGACCTCCTGCCAGTGCAGTCGTGTTGGACTTGCCGTGCGGTCATTGCTGGGGCTTGCGCCAGTAACTAATCGCAGAAAGTTTCTGTGCAGACTTCTGCTTTATTGAGTGGTGTGGATCAATACGAGGTTAGAAAATGAGCTGTGCAAGTGTAATAATTGCCTACAGTGGAATAGAAACTGTATGGCCATTACGGTCTGGTCCTAGTTGTCATGTGGCAACTGCGTAATGAGAATGGCCTGGCTAGTGTGGGCCAAATTGAGGCCACCTTGTCATCCATCTCTGGGTGCAGAACAAGGCAGAAATTCTTCTTCTGGAACTGGAAGAGCTTGTACCAGGCAGCTGAGAAACCCTCGTGAACGTTCGGCGTGTGGTTGGGGCACTGTCGGAGGACACGAGTAAGAGCGGTGTGTCTGTGCAGGCTGAGCGGTGGCCGACATGGAAAGGCTGGTGGAACGGCTGGAGAAGGCTGTGGAGCGCCTGGAGGGGGTGTGCCAAGGACCTGCCRCGTGCGGAGCCGGCTCTTCCCAAGGTACGGACAGGCTCCGCGGGGCACGCGAAGAGCCGCCCGGCCGCACGGAGGGGCAGCGGGTTGCACAGCAGCTGCTGCGCAAGCGCGGCCGGGCCTGTGGCTGCCGCGCGGCCGAGATGGGAACTTCCCGTGGCCACAGCCCCTGCGGTGGCTGCATCCCGCTGTGCATCCCGCTGTGCRTCCCGCTGCGCGTCCCGGGCCAGGCCCGGCGGCTCCGCGGGCGGTGCGTGGCCCCGCAGCCCGGCGCTGACTCCCCGGCTGCTCTTCCCTCCCCGCAGCGGCGCAGTACGTGCAGGCCTTTGACGCGCTGCTCGCTGGCCCCGCTGCTGCCTACGTCAGGATCAGCAAAGAGATCGGCGGGGATGTGCAGACCCACGTAAGGATTCACTCTCTTCTCTCTCTGCTCTAAACGGTCACTGCTGATCCTTYGGGAGACGTAAAGGCCACGCGTGTTGTCACTGTTGGTATTTCTCTCGCATGTTTTTTCCAGCGTGTTAATAATCCCTTAGGATTCAAGACATACTGATAACATTGAGCAGATTGCCACCCACAGACGCTTTGCATGCAGGCTCCTGGAAGCCTGTGGCACTTAGGTGCCCAGCTCCGCGTGGACTTTGACACATGCCTTTAATGGTCATGCAGAGTATCCCTGGTGCAGGGCTGTGAAGCTGCTGTTGGGTTTCGCCAAGGAGAGTTGTCCTCGAGGGCAAGCACTGCAGTCAGAGCGAGATACCTGTTAAAGGTGCAGGCAGGAACACCTTGACAACCATAGCCAGCCGTAACCGGAGGTCAGAGGGCTGACGAGTTAATTCCAGCAGCCCTTTGGACAGCTGGGTAGCTAATTTATAATGCCGTATTTCCCAGCATTTGGGATCAGCATAACTGCTTTCTTACAGACTAAGAACTGCGGGCAGTGGGAGTTTAAATGACACTCAGCATAATTGCCCTGCCTACAGTGAAGCAAGGGAAGCTCTCACGTGTCTCTCTGTCCTCAGGCTGAGATGGTTCATGCAGGCTTGCTGAGTGAGAGGTCTCTCTTGGTGCTAGCGTCCCAACATCAGCAGCCAACAGAGGTAAGCCCGGAAAATCACTCATTGGGAACCTTGAATGCTGGTTCTTCAGCCTTAGGGATAAGGGTACGTGTTGTGGGATGGCTGCTTCATAGGGGGAACCAGACTAGCACTGGAGACGCTTCATGCGTGAGRTGGCACTTGCTGAAAGTGTGACCTGTGCTGGGTGCTCATCCAAACCCCGTGCAGAATTCCAGGAGTGGGTTTCTAGAGCTGCACAACTGTCATTTTCCAATAGTCGGAGCAGCACCTTTTCTGTGACTGTCAAAGCAGCTTGTGGGCATCGTCTCGAGCGCCGGCACCAGCGCTGCACAGCCGCTGTGCACCAAGGTGCCACCTCCGGACACTGCAGCCGCAGTGCCACCTGTGTAGAGCTTTTCATTATGTGATACCAATACATCTTCAAGCAGTTAAAAGATTCTTTCTGCAATAAAATGGACATTTGTCTCCTTTGAACAGTGTCTGAATAATAGCTAGCCTTTTAAGATTGATTTGTCCTTAGTAATTTAACACTTTGCCTTGGCTTGCCACTTCTCAGCGGGACGTGAGTGATCTGAGAATCTGATCCTGAGTGCGCTGGTGTCTCCCTGCTGAGATGTGATTTTCCTGAGCAACAGGATCCCACCCTACTTTTCTCTGCAGTTATTCTCTGACTCAATTGTGGCTTCTGTTACACTGCGGTAGCTCCATTTCGGCGCTACTTTCATTTTAACTACAAAATATGTCCACATCTTTTTCTTTTTTTTCCTCCCCACAAGCTCAGCACCGGAAGGTTTTTATCTTTCGCCAGACTTGGGAGGATGCTGCTCTGCACAGCCTCCGCTCTGCACATCCCTCTGCTCTGCACAGCCTCCGGCCTCAGAATCTGCTTATAAATTCCACTGACACGTTATTTAAATAMAGGATTATGAACAGACAACAACCTTAATCCAGTGTAGGTCCTTGTGCAGGCTGCCTAGCAGTCCAGTCAGCTCTGGAGGAGCTGGTTTAAAGTGCTGAATGCGTGAGCTCCTGCTGCTTGTGCTCGTTGGGGGACGCAGCATGGGGAGGGATTTCCCCATATTGCGACCCAAGAGTRGAGCTTCTTAAAGCCCGGCCTGCGCAGTTATCCTGGCTGCCCATGCTTTCATCTAGGGAGAGCAGGAGACAGCAAAAGGAAAAGACAAGGCAGGTTTTGAAAACCAGGTTTTGCCTAAAATTTGTCTCTCTGTGCTGCAGTGCTACCATTGCCATGAGAGAGACTGTCTGACCTCAAAGAAAAGCAGCCCAAAAACYATCTCTTGAAATTTGTATTTGGCTGCTCTGAGCTCAGAAGTCTTCTATGCACTTGCATTCAGATTTCCAGGTTGACAACACTCAGGAAACATTTTTTTTGTCATCCAAATATTAGAAGCTTGGATTGAATTKAATATTTTAAACCTTGAGGTCTAGGCATCATCTTATTTTTGATGGGGTGGATTGCAGRCTTGCTGGGACTTGAATCGTAATGCAAGCTTTAGATCCTCAACTGCAAAATCCTGCAGAGCGCTCCCTTTTTGTAAGCATTTATAAAGGACAGCTAAAAGATGAAAAACTGTCTTAGAACTGAGGAATCCAGAAAAGGCAAAWGCTATTTCTGTCCTCCTTACGAACAAGCTTTGTCAGTGTCTCCTGGCTTGTACATGAGTCACAGTTCTTGGCGTACGCCCACAGAACCACTGGGGCTGGACGGTGACTTCAGCTCTGGAGGAGCTGGGCTGCAGGACCGGGCTGCCCTTGTGGGGAGGGTCAGCTCCATACAGCAACCTGGGCCAGCTGGAACCTTTCCAAAATGCCCATCGGTTTGGGGAGAATCGCTCATGGAGATGTGCTGCTCTYCTAGAGCAATACCACTCTTCTTAATTGCTGCTGCCCTTCTTGTCTTGCAGAATAAGTTCTCAACGCTTCTGAAACCRATTTCAGAGCAAATCCAGGTGGTGCAGAATTTCAGGGAGAAGAACCGTGGTAGCAAAATGTTCAATCACTTATCAGCTGTCAGCGAGAGCATCCCAGCCCTGGGCTGGGTGGCCATGGTAAGAACGGTAGTGGGAAGTGGTTTCTTTGGGCTGCCGGGGAAAGTCAAGCTCTTTGGTGCCCCAGCTGCTCGGTGCCAATGTGGGTTGGTTTGTTTTCTGCAGGCCCCAAAGCCTGGCCCTTACGTGAAGGAAATGACTGATGCTGCCATGTTTTATACCAACMGGATCCTTAAGGAGTACAAGGATGTGTAAGTTCACTTCACTCTTAGACATCTCTAAACCCATCTGACTGGGCTGCAGGGGCTGCTAGACCACAGCTGCCTTGTTCTTAGCTTCATTCTTTGTTTTCAAGGTGCACTATATTTACAAAGCCTTGCKCAATGATTTTTTTTTTCTCCTCATTGCTTGTATTCATCTGGCAGCTTGAATCTCTGGAGGGGGGTGTGTGGCCCTTCCTTCTCAGTGCCATGTGGTGGCAGSCTGAACTGCCTGCCAAGGCAGCCAGATGCCTTTCAGGAATGAGCCTTGTTAGAATTACCAGGCCCCTCAATTAACCASGGGTGCAGAGGAAGCTTGGGGCCTTCCACCTGCAGGTATCAGATGACTGTTGAAGTTGGGACTTGGTGCTGGAGGTGGGAGGCTGCTGTGCTTGTGCAGCTGAGTCTGCAGGCTGGGAGGTGCAGAGACACAAGGATCTGTTCACAGGCTGTGGATCGTGATGGCCAATGTACTCATGCTCTCCTTGCATCCTCAGAGATAAAAAGCACGTGGACTGGGTGAAAGCTTATCTGAGTATCTGGACGGAGCTGCAGGCCTATATCAAAGAGTATCACACCACAGGGCTGACCTGGAGCAAAACGGTAAGTGCCGGCTGCGGCCGCGGAGCCTCGCGGCGCGCGCCCCGTGCGCTCCCTGCAGCAGACGTGGCGCTTGGGCACCCACCTTTCCCCTCGCTGGTCTTTTACAGGGGCCGGTAGCAACAGAAGGGGCTAATGCACCGCGCGCTCCCCCCGGGGGAGCTGCGCCTGCCCCCCCGGGCCCTCCGCCGCCGCCTGCTCCGGCGCCCGCGTGCTCCGGCGCCGACTCGGCCACGTCGCGCTCGGCGCTGTTCGCGCAGATCAACCGGGGAGAGGACATCACCTCCGGTAGGTGCCGGCGGCCGCGGGCAGGGCCGTGCGCGCAGGGACCCAGCGCCCTCACTGGCTTTTGGGTTCCACTTTTGTCGCCGGTCACAGATCCGCCCGCTYGGAACGGCTGCTGGCCGTAACAAAAGAGCATCGAGGCTGGGATGCGAGGCCGGGAGCCAGGCACAGTCCTGGGGCGATTCGCAAGCGCAAAAGGGAGCACGTCCGAGCTGCCCCGCGCAGCCTCGCGTGTCGGGAGCAGCGAGATCAGCGTCTCGCTGGGCAGGGGAGCGAGGGAGGGCTTCAGTTGCATGCACATCCCAAGCACTCAAGGTGCCGGTTTTCACCTCCTTGTGTCTGCTTTCATGTGCTCCCTGGTTAGTGCACGAGGCACTAATGTGAAGCAGAAGCAAGGGACTTCCTYAAGGCTCTTTCCAACTGGAGAGTGGACCAGCTGGGGCCTCCTGTTTCCTCAGCACGTTTTGTTTTCATTAATATTGAAGCAGTGCTTCTGGTTGAATCTTGTAGTAGCTGTTGCTGAGGCTTGGGCTCAACTCAAGCCCAGCCTCAAACTGACTTGTTTTCTGAAAAACATTATTTTGCTGGTCACTGATCTGTGGTGTCTGTGAAACTGCGGTGCGAGCAGGGCTGGCTCTCAGGCTTGGTTTCTTCTGCAGGCCTGAGACATGTTTCAGATGACATGAAGACCCACAAAAATCCCGCACTGAAGAACCAGGGGGGTCCTGTGCGAAGCGGACCCAAACCCTTCACTGCTCCCAAACCAGCATGTAGTGGCAACCCCACCACAAAAACCACCTCTCCAAAGAAGGAACCTCCATTGCTAGAGTTGGAGGGCAAGAAGTGGAGAGTGGTGAGTGCTTGGTATCAGCACGAACAGATTGGAGGGATGGGAACTTTACTGTRCACGAGGAAGGTCTCCCAAACCCCTCTCTTGTGAAAGGCATTAGCTTGAAGGAACATGTGCTTTGCTTTCAAAGGGTGTCCACTGCCCAGCTCTCAGTATAAATTAACTCTTTTCCCCGCCCCAGAAATAAAGTGCCTTTTCCCTGCCTTTTCAGGAAAACCATGAGAATGCCTCTAACCTGGTGATCAGTGACACAGAGTTGAAGCAAGTAGCRTATGTTTTTAAGTGCATCAATAGCACACTCCAAGTCAAAGGCAAGATCAACTCCATCACCATCGGTAAGCGACGCTCCAGAGTGTGACCTGCCTGCAGAAGGCTGAAACTGCAAAACCTCTTTGTGAGTGGCTGTCTTCTCCTTGCAGATAACTGTAAGAAGCTAGGCTTGGTGTTTGATGACGTGGTGGGCATCGTGGAGATCATAAACAGCAGGGACATTAAAGTTCAGGTGAGTKTCACTTGCTGGCTGTGCTGTGAACAAGCCAAGCAAACCTCTTGCCTTGAAGGCAACTGCGAAGGACAGAGGTTGTGACCGTCCAGTTGAAGAGGATGCTCTTGTAACTTGTGCTTGACCAATCCGCCAGGTCATGGGGAAAGTGCCAACGATTTCCATCAACAAGACAGACGGTTGCCACGTTTATCTGAGCAAGAGCTCCCTAGACTGCGAAATCGTCAGTGCCAAGTCGTCGGAGATGAATGTCCTTATTCCCACGGAGGGTGGTGACTTTGTAAGTGTTTTGGAATCGGTGAGGAGGGCTGGCGTGAAGCAGGATGGGTTGCCTTGAGAGGCAAGTGCAGTACTACACGGTGTTTCAGGCCAAGTGGTAGCTTTTCCAGGATGTCTTGGAGGGGAAAGGATGCGCTTAAGGAAGGATCCTTCTGGATCTGCTAAAACCAGCAAATCAGTTTTTCTCTGCAGTGAGAGATTTGCTCTGTTCTGAGAGTTTCTTCTCCAGAGGACAGAACAGACAGGGGTGCAGGAGGGGACATAGTATGTGTCAAAGAAGAAAAAAGTGCCCGAAGCAGTGGGAATAGTTACTTGYTGCAGTCATAAACAGATTTTTGATGATGGATTTCTACTTTTTCCTCCAGACTGAACTGCCTGTCCCAGAACAGTTCAAGACAGTGTGGAACGGTCAGAAGTTGGTTACCACTGTGACAGAAATTGCTGGCTAAGCAGACAAGCTCCAAGGCTCGTGCCCTTCCCTGGCCCTGCTGTGGGACAAATCTGCTTTCAGATGATTCTCTTAGATTTCCTGTACCTTTCTGCTCTCAAACTGCTTCTCTTCTTCCCAAGAGACACAGCTACCTGCCGACACTGAAATACCTCTGGCTGGGATTTGGTGTTGGTGGCGGGTCAGTCGTCATCCCCATCTACTAGCAGGAAGGTGTATTTTTTTTTCTCCCCCTGTCCAGTCTAACTGCACCAATTGATCATGTCAGATTTGGGGTGAACTTCTCAGCCAGTATTGGCAGTTGGCTTTCAGAGTGTTGTTTAGGGTTTTTTTTTTTCTTTTTTTTTTAATTGCCTTTAAGCAAACTGTTGGTGTGAAAGAGGAATATTGTCCCCTTTTTTGAGTCAACAACTAACAGTGTCTATTGGGGTCCAGAGTGCTTGGCTGCTATGTGTGAGGACGTCCTGGAAGCTGCCAGTTCCAGCTCTGTGCATTAATCAGTGGCGTCACAGGATGTGGAAACGGTTTTGTTGGACCAAAGGCTGAGGACTTGGGCTGTAGCATTCCACAATGACTTCCCTTTTATCATTCCTACTAGCTCAGTGTATTTCTGATTTGTGCCATGACAGGAGGCTTTGTATTAACTGGTGCCACAGTACGACTGCAGTGGAGTGACTGCAGTAACCCTTCCCCSGCAGTGCGGCTGGTAGCTTGGAGCTGAGCACCTCTTTCCGTGAGCCCTTCACCCTCTAAAGGGAATCTTTGCCCCAGGGCTTCCTTCTCCGAGCAGCTGAACGCAGGTTCAGTCTTCCAGGACAGTTCTCCTGAACCTGTCCCCTTCTGCAGAGAAAGGGTCTCCTTCATTCCAGGGTAAGTGCAAGGTAGGAAACACCTGAGTTGGATCGAGTTGGTTCCTCACTCTCTTCCTCCTTGGCATTYGGTCACCATAGAGTGACACTTCTCGATCTGCCCTTTCGCCCGTGCTTGGCTCTTTACTTTCCTGGAGGTTTGTTGGCTGTTCCAGGGCCCTGGAGCAGAGCCACGACTCGAGGCCACAGTACTGTACCGACCCGTGCGGGGCGCTGCACGAGCTCTCACCTTCATGTTTCAACGCCTCGGGTGGCATAAGCATATCTTAAAGGCATTTCCTCTGTAAAGTGTCAATGTTCTCTTTCTCTAGGACAAAACTTATAAAAAAAATATGCAATTTTTTTTTTTAATTTTGAGACTGTCCTGTGACTTGTACTTGTCTTCTCCTGAGGCTTGTGGAAAACAACCTTTCTTATGTACTTAAGATTATACAGAAGATTAGAATAAAGTTAATGCCAACTTGCTCATTACCCTGGCTCTTGTTTACTCTGTGTGAAGACATCCAGAACCTCAGGGAGGACAAAATGCTCCGTGCTGTTTAGCTCCACTGAGACTGCCTTGCTTGCCCCTTGCAGCAAGACTGAAGGGGAAGTACAGACTTTTTCCTTCTCTGAATCAACCTGTAAGTAATTGTCAAATCTCACSCTGTTTGTAGTTGTAAAGTTTTTATTAATGTTAATTGCTGTACAAAAGTGCATAAAACAAGCCTTTAATTGAAAACTGTTAACAATGTTAATACCCCCTTAATGCAAAACCTTCCTTTTTCCCTACAATCAACTAACTTGGGCCCTTTCTCCCTGCCTTGAAGTAGAGACTGTAATCTTTTTCCTCTGCCTTCAGTCCTGTAAGCCTGCTTGCTGATCTCCAGCAATGCAGCATCCCTGAACTAGTGATTTTGGTTAATGGTGCCAGGGCTTCCCAGGAAGCACAGGCACCATAGGCTGTGAATGTGAGTGTTAAACCCCCTCACCCAGCCCCCTTTTGCCCTGATCAAGTGCTGGAGCAGCCGCAGCTGACGAGCAGACCCAGGTAACCTTCCCCAGGCCTGCCTGGGCTTGGAGTGCCTCACAGTTGGTTTAGCTACATCCAGAGGAATCCCAGTCTCCCGCTGCAGGGTAACAGGGCTGCCCCCTCCGCGTGCTGTGGACCTGCTGAGCTAAAGCCCCCCTGCCCCTCTCCCGCTGCTTCCCCCAGGCTTGTACAAAAGAAGTGCAATTGAACACAGCAGCTGCACTAACTAGAGCGCCAGAGCCTCCCCTAGGCTCTCACATGAGGCTTCCTCTTGGCTTCAGTGGAGGAAGGGGAGGAGAGTGGTGTAAAACCACTCTTCCGAGAAGTGCAGATGGTCCCCCTTGACCCCCAGGAACACCAGCTTTCCTGCTTTGTCCATTTCCTGCAGCCCCAGGCGATCCTGAGGAGAGAGAACCGTGAGCGTGGCTTCCCCGGGCTCCGGGCAAGGGTGCCCGTGGGGCAGGAAGAGCAGAGCTGCAGGGGCTGCAGCCCCTCAAGGCCCTGACTTCAGGCTATTCCCCTCTTCAGAGTGCAAGAGCAGGAACCCCTCGGCACCCAGGAGAACGTACCTCTGTGTACAGTGCCGTCTCCTGCAGTGGAACGGTCTCCTTGGCTTGGCCGCTTTTGTAAAACCCAAACCACTGTCAAAAACAAAGAGGTGCTGAAGGCCCATTCAGACACTGCACTATCAGGCTTCTACTTACACTACTCCTCATCAAATTAAAGTTCTGCCATAAAAGGAGAAACCAAAAATGAGCAAGCAAAGGAATAAATGGGATCCTGGCCARAGGCAGCATCCACTCTGCTTGCCTCACCTCAGAGATTGGAGGGTCGACCATGGTATCGTTGAGGAATTTAACCATCACGAACTTCTTTAGAGCCATCAAGTTTTTCTTGTATGTCTCATTGATGCCCTGGGTGGAAGTGCAGAGAACAGAGTAACACCTTGGCWGCCCCCAMCAAGACAGCATAAGAAACTCAGCTCTCAACCACTCRCCCTCCTGTTGGGGAGGGAGAGATYTGCCCCCTAGAAAGGTGGGGTGTAGATTGAGCACTAGGTTTATCTTTACYTKGATCACTCAGAAAAACCTGGTGACACAGAAGCTGCTCTGATGGGGGACAAATCTCATTCCTGTCTAGCAGTGCAGATGCTTGATCCCAGCCAAGGAGAACTAAAGCTATGAAGGAACTTGCTGCTCAGGCTTATGCTCTAGTGCTTATACATTAGTCAGGTCCTTACCCTCTCCTGATTTATGTCAGCCAAAAAGATGCTATTTTTCCTGTAGTCCTCCTCCTTCAAAGGGTCGTGCCAGTACTCCGCTTGTACCAAGCTGGAGGGAAAGCAAAGARCAGACTGGAAACTCAGAGCTTCCTACAGAGGTCTGGCCCCATTTTTGCAGCCCGATGAAAATACTCACTGCTCCTGAACGGCCGGTGTGTATGCACCCAGATCCAGCGTCTTCCGGATCCAGTCGCAGATATGGGAGCTCTCCCCAGGACAGCGTGGAAAGCCGTATACTCCTGAGGTACAGAGATGGGTAACAGCTCGGTAAGCCAATCTACTTAATCTCTCCATCTGCTAAAGAACCACCCTCTTACAGTGGCAGGAATTACTCAGGCAGTCAGGAGATGTTTAATCCTGCAATCCCATTAGACAGCCCTCCTGCCCCTGGGCATTATTATACGTGGATGGTGTTCTTGCCCAGCAAGTGATACTGCTGTGGCAAACGGGATGAGCAGAGGAGTCTCCTGCTCACCCAGACTCTTCCCTGGAGCTTTCAGGAGACTTCCTAACACTCTTCCCCCTGGCTTGACAAAGAAATAGATTCAAGCCCTGGAACTTCCCAGGGGAGAGTATTTGAAATTCACTGCCAGGCAGTCTCCCAGATCCTTAACTGCACACCTCCTAAATTACATTTCATACTGCTCTTTAATCTGCTGCAAAAAGCACCTCCCTTTCCTTGGGGATTTAGCTTTCCAGGTGCTGCTGTAAAATATCCCTGTGATCTAGGAGGTAGTCAGAAATTTCCTCTCCAGAAACAACAACTCCAAGCTGCTTTTGAGGTTTAGAAGAATTCTGCCTGCACAAAAAGTCATCTTTGACCTGCCAGTTGAGCAAGACTAGAAGATAATAACATAGCCAGGTATCTGAGCTGATGCAGATCACCAGTTTCAGACGGTTTAACTCACAAGCAAAATGAAGTTTCAGGAAGAGGCCAAGATACTCAAGCGTGCTGCCGCGAGCCCCACACCRCGGTTAGTGGCTGTGCTAGCCAGGAGCACACTACCTTGATGCTGCCCGCCAACGGAGATGAGATTGAGCATGGGTGGAGACGGACACCTCTGAGCCACCGCCCGCCTGCGGAGAAAGGCAGAGGAGCCGAGGCAGCTCACGCGGGTGGGGAACACGGTGGTGAGCGCGGCTGCTGCGTGGGCTGAGGCGCCTCTGCWCGGAGAGCTGGGCCCTCCTGAGAGCCGAGAGCTTCAGCAGCCCACGAGACCGCGCCCTGCTTCCCCTGGAGCGCTCTCACCTTCRTGAAAGGGCTTAAACATTTGCTTAGCACTTCTGAGTTATAAATATCCGAATCATGTACCCCTAGAAGTCATGGAAATGTAACAGAAAGGCAAACTTACAAGAACTGGCCTCCTTGGGAGAAGCCCATTGCGTTGTAGCCTCCTTTCAGGTGAGGGTCCCTTGCAAGCTGGCTACACACCTCTCTCACTTGATCATTCACATTCATAAAGAAGCTGTTCTCCATATCCTGATGAATTATCCAGAYGAAAAAGAACAACTTGTGCTTTACAGTGATTTAGTTTATGTCAAGCTCGACAAACATCACAATTCTGCTTTTCAAAGAAGACATTTTACTTTCACAATGCAATAAAAGTGAAATACAGGTTTTTAGACTTCCTCTTTATCGGGTATTCTTCCTGTTCTGCCTGGCAAAACTCAGAGACGTTTCCCCACACACCAGAAAACAGGAGTCCCTCTATGTATATATTAACAAAAAATACTTACGTATACATATATAAACCTCACCCGTATTTTCTATATACCAGAAGGCAATAAACACTGTGCATTAKCCTGAGAGACTATTTAAAGAAATCCAGTAGGGCTATACAGCACAGTCAGAAGCAGCAGAAGCCTCTATCTTTAGTCTACTGTATAGATGTACAGCAAAGGAGAGCTTGCAAATCGAAGAATTAGTAGTCACCGAGAGCAGCAGGGGACCAAGTTCTGGTAGCTTATCACATGTCTTTGTATTATGTGGTGTGCTCGGAGGGTGCTAATCAGTGGATTTGCACAGTGATCCAATTTGGACTGGGGATTTGTTTCCTTACCGGTTCTGCGGGTGCTAATGAGACTCGATTGTTCCTACCTGTCCGAGCTGTTTGCTTCACAGGATGGGTACAGAGCGTCCCGGGCACCGCGCGAGCTCAGGGCCTGCGGGAGCTCTGCGCTCCGGAGCGGCGCCGCGAAGGCCGCCGCATTTACCTGGATCACGTTGTTTCCGATCTTGAGGGAGAGCACGTAAACCCCCGGGATTTTCGCCTCGACGATCTTCTTGATGTAGCCCATGCTCTGCGGGTTGCAGCAGCTGTCACCTGCCGAGGGGAAGCGCGTCAGGCGCCGCGGAGGGCCCCGGCGCCGCGCGGGCCCCGCCGGCTCTCACCCATCCCGTGCCAGATGACGAGCGGCACGGCGGCGGCCGCGCGGCCCGGCCACAGCCACAGCAGCAGCGCCGCCGCCCTGAGCGCCGCCATCTTGAGCGAGCACATGACCGCGCGCGGCCCGCCGGGGCGGGGCTAAGACGGGAGGGGGCGGGGACTGAACGGGGGCGGGGCTGAGCCCGGAGGGCGCGGGGGCGGAGCCGGGGGCGGAGCTTTAGCCCGGAGAGGGCGGGGTCTGGTGCGCGGGGCAGCCGAACCCATGGACGGGTCAGGTTGACGCTCGACACCCCGGGATAGACACACGGACAGGGACGGTTGTCCTGGGACAGACACACAGACAAGACTGACTGCCCGGACAGACAGCGGGACAGACACACGGACAAGACAAACCTGGACAGACAGCGGGACGGACGCACGGACAAGACAAACCTGGACAGACAGCGGGACAGACACACAGACAAGACAAACCTGGACAGACAGCGGGACGGACACACAGACAAGACAAACCTGGACAGACAGCGGGACAGGCACACGGACAAGACAAACCTGGACAGACAGCGGGACGGACGCACGGACAAGACCCGCCGCCCCCCGGACAGACACCAGCCAGGCGGCTGGCTTGAGCGCTGGCGTTTGCTCCTCCCAGCTGCTTCCCACATCCTGCCGCACAGGCCGTGTCTGTGTCCCACTGCCAGCCCCGGGGACCACGTGCACGTCGCGCCCTGGCTCCTGCAGCGAGTCACAAGCACTTTTGGACAAGTCTCAGGAATTATTGCTCCTGCTGCAGCGGGGCTTCTCATCAGCCAGGTGATTCAGTGCCACAAACCTGCAAGAAAACAGGCCCACGCTGAAAAAAAACGTGATTTTTCTTTGCACTGAATTTAAATTTACTCCCAGTCCCGCACCTCTTCCCTCAGCTTCCCCTGCCGAGCCTGCATATGCCATGTAGCACCCAGCGAAGCAGAGCTCTCAACCGTTCCCGGGATAGGCGGGTGATTCGGGAAGCGGGACAGGCACCGCACGGGCCCCTCCGGATGCACTTGCATCCGGGGAGCGGCGGGAGGAGGAAGCTCTGTGCCAGGGAGGAAGGAGCCCCACATTCAGCACACCAGCTTCCCAAAGACKCCAAGGCAGGAACCACCTCCCCAAGGACAGAGGATCCGGAGCTGAGCAAAGCCCTTTGGCACTTGGTCCCTGGAGATTCATTAAGTGCCTGTGGCCCGGGTGGCACTGGCTGGGCGATCTCTGCATGGAGCTAAAGGGTGATATTGGGGTGCCTGTTCCCAGGCACCCGCAGGACCCYCGGGCTGCGTCTTCCTCGTGTCTGCAGTCCTCAGCCGCTCCGGCCTCGACTTCTCCGTGCCCTCTGGCAGCGGGACCATCCAAGCGTGGGCGAGAGCGGAGGCTGCTGCAGTGGGGCGCGGATGAGGCCGCAGCCCCGGCCCTCCCTTCRACGCACATCGCCTGCTCTGCGCCTAGCCGGACCCAAGGAAGGAAYGTGGCAGTGCGGGCAGATCCTAATGGGATCCGCAGAGAGCTGGGAAGTCGCCTGTTGACTGAGCTGCATAAGGAGCCCGCAGCTCTGTCTCTAGCAAACCTGTCCATAGCCGAGGTAAATCGGTAGAACTGCTGGAATAATGCTGATTTCTTACCAACTGCCTCGCCCCTGCCTGGGGATTCCTCAGGTGTTTTCCTAAGGAATCAAGCTGACTTTTCATTCCTTCTTCATGCCTTCTTGGAGGGTTTCTCAAAGCAGGGAGGAAAATGGGGCAAAAACCTAAGTGAGGGAAGGTGAGAWGCAAAGAAAGCAGCCAGCTGGCATCACCCTGACCGCGGGGAGMGCTCAGCCCGCCTGCAGCGCAGCCCGCAGCCCCCGATAGCAGGTTGACAGGGACAGGAAGGGCTCCGGGCCGGGCCAGGCCGGGGCCGCCCTCGTGGCTCCCGGCGGGCCGCAGGGCTGCGCTCTGCGCCGCTCCCGTGCCCGGTTCCAGTTCCGGCTCCGGTTCCGGCTCCGGTTCCGGGGGTCCCCGCCGCCG